TCCTCGTGTTCTGCTGGGGCCTGGCCTGTGCCTTCCTGGCAGTCTTCAGCACCTGCGAGGGGACGAGGGGGGTCTCTGGAGCTGAAGATACATGCTGTCTCCCAGAGACCCAACCCTTAAGTTTACCATAGAATCATGGAATCGTTTAGGTTGGAAAAGGCGCTTAAGATCATGGAGTCCAACCCTTAAGCTAACAGTTCCAAGTCCACCACTACACCATGTCCCGCAGCACCACCTCTACAGGTCTTTTCAATACCTCCAGGGATGGGGACTCCACCACTTCCCTGGGCAGCCTGTTCCAAAGCTTGACAACACTCTTTCAGTAAAGACATTTTTCCTCACGTCCAATCTAAACCTCCCCTGGTGCAACTTGAGGCCATTTCCTCTCGTCCTATCGCTTGTTACTTGGGAGAAGAGACCGACACCCACCTCGCTACAACCTCCTTTCAGGTGGTTGTAGAGAGCGATGAGGTCTCCCCTCAGCCTCCTTTTCTCCAGGCTAAACAACCCCAGTTCCCTCAGCCGCTCCTCATTAGACTTGTGCTCTAGACCCTTCACCAGCTTTGGTGACCTTCCTTGGACAGCATTTCCCAGGACCGTCTCTAGACATCTTTTGAGCTTCTCCAAGGATGGAGACTTCACGACGTCCCTGGGGAGCCTGAGCCAGTGATCATCAACCTCACAGTGAAAAAGTGTTTCCTGATGTTCTGAGAGAACCGCCTGTGTTTCATTTTGTGCCCGTGGCCTCTTGTCCTGTCCCTGGGCACCACTGAGAAGAGGCTCCATCCTCTTTGCACCCTCCCTTCAGGTGTTCATATTCATTCATGTAAGAGCCCCCTGAGTCTTCTCTTCTCCGGGCTGAAGAGTCCCAGCTCTCTCCGTCTTTCCTCATATGTGAGGTTCTCCAGTACCTTCACCATCTTCGTGGCTCTTCACTGGACTCTCTCCAGTATGTGCATGTCTCTCTGACATGGGGGAGCCCATCACTGGACCCAGCACTCCAGATGTGCCGTCACCTGTGCTGAGCAGAAGAGAAGGATCACCTCCCTCCACCTGCTGGCAATACTTTGCCTAATGCAGCCCAGGACACTGTTGGCCGCCTTTGCAGTAAGGTCACACTGCTGGCTTGTAGTCAACTTGATGGCCACCAGGACCTGCCCCCCCCCACCCCAGGGCCTTTTCTTCAAGCTGCTTTCCAGCTGAATGGTTCCCAGCATATTTTGGTGTCTGGGGGTTTTTTTCCTCCCCAGGTGCAATACTTGACCTTTCTCCTTGTTGAGCTTCATGAGGATCCTGCCAGCCCATTTCTCCAGCCTGTTGAGGTCTCTCTGGGTGGCAGCATGACCCTGTGGCCACTGGTCCCAGTTTGGTGTCACCTGCAGACTTGCTGAGGATCTACTCTGCCCCACCATCCAGCTGTGAGCCAGCATCTCTGCACGTCCAGGAAAACTCTGCCTGTCCCCTGCCAAGCCTGTGGTTCCAGCCTAAGTCTAGGCTGTGGCCTAACTCTGAAACCAGTTCTTCTGCTCTTGGCCTAGTGCATGTGTCCAAGTCCTGGATCTGTGCACCTTAGCGTGAGCAGGGCTAAGACGCACCGCTTCAAAGCTGTCACCTCCAGGCATTGGTACCCAGGAATAATAAAATCAGGATAAATCCAGTCACTTTCTCTTTCAGACAACCAAGGTGGGATCCAGAAGAGCACGCTCTCTGACACCCTCCTTAACCAAAGCGAGGTTGAAAAACCTCTGGTTCTCCAGCTCATCCTTTGGACCTTTTTGAAAGTTGCATGCAACAGGTCCTTTTTGCTGCTCATCAGGAAGATCTCCCAACCTCCGTGATCTTTCAGACATGGTTCGGAATGGCCTCACTGTGTCATCGACCTGGTAACACCTTGACATCAGCAAGTCCTGACTTGATCCCCATCCCCTGATGGTTTTTTCATCCACTGCTGGTTCTACCTCAAGGCACACAAGGCTGGAAGACATTCCTGGAGAAGAAGGAGAGAAGGTGGACATAAAACATCTCAGCCCATTCTGTATCTACTCATAATACCTTCAGCATTTGCCGTACATGGTGGTTGTTTTGAGTGTCAACTGAATACTGCTATGGACCAGCTTTCCAAGGAAGGACCTGACCTTCCAAGATGCTAGCCTCAAAGACCAACTCTACCGAGCTCTGCTGCCCTTCAGTGCTGCTGACCATGATATCCCACCTAAAAGACATCTGAAGGACCTCAGCCAAGCCATTGATGCTGAGTCCTTAAGGTGATGTTCTCCGCTCCAAGGCTTTCCCAATCCCCTTTTGAAGACTGTAGGAACCTTCATGTTTGTGCTAGAGATACATTCACATGCTCATGCGCATGTGGTGGGCTCATCTGGGAGTGGGGACGTTACACAGTTGGAGGAGACCATTGTTGGCCAAAGTAGCCTTCTGATGACATGTGTGAGTCCCAAACCTGCAAGAAAAAGAACTTTTTTTGGAGGTGGGATGAGGCACCGCAGGGAACCTTGGTGCATCCTCTCCATTGATGAAGGAGGAAAATACCTCAGCCACCAACCGCAGGATGACCAGGAGAAAAAGGTGGAAAACTTGGATTTATAGAGGCCGTTGCTGCTTCTTTTGGCCTCTAACAAACAACCCTGTGTCACTGCATCCCATTGGTGGCCCAATAAGCCACTAGTGCCATTATACTGCGCCTGGTGTTCCTATTGGCTGTTTGTCTTCCGGAGGAGGAGAAGTATGCAGAGTAAAGGAAGGAGAAAGGATCAGGATATAAAGTGATAGAAAGAATATAAAGTGATATAATGAATTAAAATGAGGGGACATCGACACCTGAGGAGAAGACATCCTGTTGAGGTCCAAGCGCTTCTCCTCCAAGGATCTCCTCAGACTGGGGAACCCTCCGACAGGTAGACCACACTCGAGTCCCCAGAATATTGAGCAATGCAGCGCGTCATCACCCCCCCCCAAATGCTGTGCACATGGGGTGCTAGTGGCCCAGATGCCACCTCATCCCTATCCCCAGATCCTCTGAATGCATGGAGAGGAGGGTCTAACACCACATTTACTGCCAAAGCATAAGACATTTGGGGTAGGAGTGCCTCCATGAGACTTTTGAGTGAGCAGAGACCCATTTTTCTTCCCCGAAAACACGGTCTAATGAGGATTTTCTTCCTACATCTTTTCATTAGGATACATTCACTGGAAGGGGCTCCAAAACAAAGATGACCCAAGTGCTTCTATTACAGCCTTCATTGATAAAAATGATCCTTGATCTCAGGATAACCCAGGAAACACCTGGATTATGATCAAAAAGTGCCTTATTTTAAGCACTGTCTCTATCCCAGTGGAAAGAAAGAAAGAAGAAATTAAAAGAAAAACATCATTTTTATTCTCCTTCAAACCAACGTGGGCTTTCCGAGTGCTGGGAAACTTCTTCCCAAGTTTGCTGAAAGCCTTGGGTTGGATTGCAGTGAGGTCCCACCTGGAGAGCACCTGAATAGACCCAACCCCATGAGTTTGGAGGGGCAAAAAAAACCACAGCAGAGGGTGAAAACGGCCAGTGTTGCCCATTTTTAGTCTTGGGACACATTGGCCGGTCAACGGCATTGTGGGAATTTTGGTGGGGAGGTTTGGGGCATGGAAGGGGAAGGTTGGCTCCTGCTGCAGGACATCTCCAGTCTTAGCTGTCTTTGGACAATGGCATGATGGGAAATTGGGATTTCTTCAGTCTGGTGGGTTATGAGGGGCCACCACTGCTGCTGGGTCTTCTCACTTGGGGTTACCCCATCATAGGGGGCATCTGCTGGGGGGAGTTGTCCTGATTTTAAGGCCAGGACCCAAATGCTGGGACAGGCTGGTGGAGGGATGGAGGGAAGGAAGGGAAGGTACATTGACCATAAGACATGTAGAAGACCTTCCCTCTGCCCTCCACACCATCTTAATGTGCTTCCA